TGTGCTTTCCTGATGAGATGCTGGTTATGGTTTTGCAGGACCTGCGAGATGTTATCGCCAGATAAAGAACAAGCCATACCCGAAATCTCGATTCTGCCGTGGTGTACCTGACCCAAAGATCAGGATTTATGATGTTGGGATGAAAAAAAGGGGTTTGATGAGCTCCCTTTCTGTGTGCATCTTGTATCTTGGGAGAAGGAAATTTTTCAAGTGAAGCTCTTGAGGCTGCGCGTATAGCATGCAACAAATACATGGCCAAGTATGCAGGGAAAGATTCTTTCCACCTTCGAGGTCCGGGTTCACCCTTTCCATGTTCTGCGTATCAACAAGATGCTTTCATGTGCTGGTGCTGATAGGCTTCAGACAGGCATGAGGGGTGCTTTTGGGAAGCCACTGGGAACTTGTGCTAGAGTCAACATTGGTCAAGTGCTTCTGTCCGTCGTTGCAGGGACCACAACGGCCACCATGCTCAGGAGGCTCTGCGCCGTGCTAAATTCAAGTTTCCCGGTCGCCAGAAGATCATTGTCAGCAGGAAGTGGTAAGGAAGCATAAGCTCATCTCTTCTTTTTTAATGGCTTGTCTGTGTCAATTATGAAATTCCATGTCTTTACTGGGCTCATCCATTTTTTGTTTTTCATGATTACTGTAAGTTTGCTTTTGTCCAGTTTCTAATTTCTGATCTAAAGCATTCTGGTTTAATTCAATATGAAGTAGTCATAAATTCCAACATGGTTCGCAGGACTCATAAATTCATATCCCATGAATGACCCAATGCCGTTCTATATGGGAATCTGACAATGCTTTGCTATGTTACCCTCGGAGTCCTATATTTTCTCCCGGAAACATGTCAATTTTTTTCAGCCGAGTTTTATGTTAATTTATCAAATTGACCATGAAAATTATCTTTTCTTTTTCTATTTTCAGGGGATTCACCAAATTTAGCCGCGCTGAGTATCTGAAGTTCAAGTCAGAGAACCGAGTTGTGCCAGATGGAGTCAATGCCAAGGTTTGTCTCCTACTATAATAGTACGATGTTCTGGAAAGAATTTGATTACTTGTCAAGTATTCAATGAGTGGAAGCTTGATGTTTAACTCTCCTGAAATCACTTTCTTGACCAAGTTAATTTTTCTTTTCCTTTATGCTTTTCAGGTTCTTGGGTGTCATGGACCTTTGGCTTTGCGAGAGCCTGGAAGAGCTTTCTTGCCCGCTAATGTATAAGGATCATTTTACCTGTATGAGCCTCGCTGAATATATATATATATATATGTATGTATGTATGTATGTATAAGGATCACGTTACCTGTATGAGCCTCGCTGAATATGTGTGTGTGTGTGTGTGTAATGGTGTCCTCTTTCTCTGGGGTCTTGATTACTGTATGGACAGTAATTCTAGTACTCGTGTCAGGTTGCAGTATGTTACGTAATTTCTGATGAGGTGTGATCGAATAATAATGGGGCACATGTGGATGCCACTTTCCCCCTTTTTTTGGACTACTTCGCCATTTGCTTTTAATTGGGGTTGAAATTTGGAAGGATTGTTGTGAAAAATTGTTGGTGGACAACACGCCAAAAACAATTATGCGTTGAATTGAAGGACTACTTAAACTATTAAACGTAGCCACGTAAATTAATTGGATTAAATTATTTTAAGCAATTTTATAATTTCTAAAATAAACATAAAAGAGGAGTTTTGTCTCGTAAAATGCCAAAAAAAAACTTACCTGAAGCAATTCTGGCAAGTTGGGTCCCAATGGGGTTGTACAAAGTAATGAAAGTATAGCTTATGTCAATATCGTTTGGTGGAAAAAAGTATATAAACTAAAAGAATATGATTCTATTTTTCAAAAAAGAGCGTTGGCACGTTGGCATATTCCCCATTTGCTTTTAATTAGGGTCGAAATTTGGAAGGATTTTTGTAAAAAAATGTTGGAGGACAACACGTTAAAAACAATTATGTGTGGTAAACGTACACAAACTAATCTGGATTAACTTATTTCAAGTGATTTTATAGTTTATAAAGTAAGTGTATGAGAAGAGTTTTATCTCATAAAGTGCCAAAAAAAACTTATTTTAAGCAACTCTGGATTGTACAAGATAGTGAAAATATAGCTTATATCAATATCTATAATTCTTTTGTTGTTTGGTGGAAAATGTATACATACTAAAGGAATATGATTCTATTTCTCAAAAAAGAGGTTGGTACGTTAGCATATTTCTGTGATTCTATAGGTTTGGGTCCTTGTGGGGTTGTATAAAACCCAATACAGCTGATATCCATGTCCACAATTATTGTTTGGTGGAAAAGATATATCTATAAACCAAAGGAATATGATTCTGTCTTCTTTTATTCGGATAAAAAAGGGCCGGTACGTTAGCAAATAGGTTTGGATGTAACGCCTTGATGCCCACTTCGAGGGAACTGGCAAGTGGCAAGAGCAAACTGCAAATAGCTATAGTTATAATTGGCAAAAGAATATTTCAAACAAAAATTTTGCTAAATATTCATTTTGTAAGGTAATGACCAAAAGAGCACAATCGAATAAATTCCACTCGCTTTAAGTGCTCGGTAAGATTGTTCTTGGATTTGTATATATCTCTTCGAGGTCCATTACAACGAAGCAGGGAAGAAACCTGCTAACGCGAAGATTTCTCAAATATTAAAGGGGCAACCATTACTTTTTCGAGTAATTGAACCACCAGCACAAGAACATACCAGTTTTTTTTTTTTTAATTGAAATGATTATGAATTGGACAGGGAGAATCTATTCCGATCATTTATCGATTGTTCATCAATTTGATTGCAACTCCTTAAAACTCATTGTTATTTAGACAAAAAAGAAAAGAAAATTGCAACAGAGTATAAGAAAACAAAGACTGCCAACATTGGAAAAGGAAAAACAGAATAGAAGGAAGTAGTGCACGTTACCAACAAAACATACAAAGCTTTCTTTAAATTATATCAGTCAACACAAAATAATGACTACTTCCCTACCTATGTCTACCGATGCTTCATCCATATATCTGCATTTCATTACACAAAATTTGGGCCTCCATTATACTCTCTAGGGCTATGGCTTCTTTCTGAGGAACTTACAAACAGGTTGTTTAGTTGGGTTTAGTACAACCCAATTTGCCTGCTTCAACTGGTTGTACTTTGTAGTACTTTAACTCACTGCCAACATGCTAAACTAATTCCATTTTACCAGGGTCAGCCACATCTGTGTTGACTTCATTTTAGTGTTACTTTCTAGCTTCACACCTGTTCCTGAGTCATTTGTTTCGTGTACCACGTTTTGACCTTGTTTTGTTTGCTTGAGAAGTTGCTTTCTTAGTAGTACAATTTTTCCCTTGTTCAATGTTTTCTTCCTTTATAGAACCATCAGAAGGAAGCAGTTTACAATCTTTAGATTCTTTCTGAGATTTTCTCTGAGAAAACCTAGTTTTCCTGGTTGTGTTTAGCCCTTGTGGCTCGATTCCATTGTCTGCATTATTTTCTGCAATGTATTCCTGAGAATTTGCAGATTCTTTAGTTTCATGCACAATACCTTGTTTAAGAATTTTTGTCTTGTTTGATTGTGGTTTGTGCTTCTTGGTTGCACAAGTATCAACTTGTTCATCCAAAATCTCTTGTCCATCTTCAGCTGATTCTGGAAAGGCTTTGACAATGTAAATCTGCGGTAAAAATATGAAGACATGTTAGATGCGAATCTAAGTTATTCATGAACCATATAAAGTAAATCATATTCAAACCTTACTATTCTAGTAGTAAACCGTAAATATATCCATGAACCATAAATCAACAGTAATTGACTACTTTAAAAGGGCAAATCAAAAGTTCTTGATTTCATTCATGCTCCCTAACCACTTCCTGTCTACAAATATTTGAACAAAGGGGTAATTCAGAAATCCGTATGGAGATCTAAGGTCCAGGTTGAGAATAGTGTTGAATATTGTGAAATTTTTTCTGATATCTCCCTGATTTGGGATAGCAATATTCTTATCTCTGTTTCTTTCTTGTTTTTGATCCTTCATTCTAACAGGCCTTCCGTTTATTGTCATCTTTCATTATAAGCCATTACTGTTGCTATGACCCCTATTAGTAATAATGCATAGCACTCAATCCTCAGAACCAGTTATAGGCAATAGTCAAATTAGTAAAAGAATAATAATCATGAGATAATGGACGACTAAGAGTACCTTAAATCTGGTAGGTTCAACTAATTCAAAAACAAGTGCATCACCATCATCCAACTTATGATCCAATGCAAATCCTCTCCACCCTCCGCTGAGCCCAGTTCTATTGCCAAGGAAAACAGCCTCAAATTCTGAGCCATTTTCATCCTCTAAAATCATGTCACACGTAGTCTTAGGAAGATGGTCGTGGCAAAATCTATTAGGGAGACCCTATCATAATAAAGATAATCATAAAATAGTAAGCATGATTATATCAAAATAAGTGCTTCAGGGGAAGTTTTGTACTAGTTTAAGAACCAATTTACCGAAGAGACCTGTTTGATAATATTGATCTTGAATATGCAATTTATGAATGCAGCCAATTGAATCTCTTTATTGTAACTCACCAGCCAAAAGCAACTATAAACATGAGACCGGACCATTGACTTAATAAATGCTGGATTTGAAGTCTGTAAATCGCTTAGAAGTGTTTCTGCGGCCATGAAAGCACGATTTCTTTCTTCATCTGTGGCTTCTTTGATTTCATCTAGTGGCCTTGCAACATAACTGAGATTCCCATACCTTGTCAGTAATATTTCACATGCAACAATGAGAAACCTTTTCAAAAAGAATAAGCACCTTCCCCATGATGAAGACGACCTTGACCTCTTCCGCAAAGGTGGAAGACCTATGAATACCTATAACGGCCAAAAAAAATGTCTAATTTTTTCAAGAAGGAAAACCCAATGAAATTGTTTACAGAAAGATCTAGCATGAAACATTATAGTGGTTCCCAATATATGGTGTGGTTTCAACACTGAAGACTTCTTGTATCACTTTAGTAAGCAAAACTATGATTCTTCCAAGTTCACCAGTCCAAAAGGTACTAAAATAATGCATTACTGTTGAGGACCAAAACTATACTTCTGATTCCAAGTACACCATTCAGCAATCATATTCTCAGTACTAAAGTGATGTTGAAAGCCTTAGGAGTATCAAATTGATAGGCGCCGAAACTTGCGATGACCAAATAGGAGTTTTAGTCAGATAGATCATCATTAGACAGATACTACAGGAAAACCAAGATTTGTTGGTCACATAAGAGCAATAAATTACCACCTGACCACCTCATGGTTAAAATTCATAAACAGATATAAGTAAATTTGTAGTTCAAAGTATGCAAGTCCTATAAGAATAAAGTTGATATTGATGCCTACCTCCTCACGATATGAAGGAACAGAATTTCGCACGCGAGAAGAGCGTCTTGGTTCCACGACATCATTACTATTTGATTTTTGTTTTGGTCGACGTTGCTGCAGAGGCAGAGCAAGAGAGATCAGTCAGATGCTTGTGATTATTCAGAGTAAAACTAAAGAAAACATAACTTCACCGGGGGAGCCTTCTTCTCTGGTGTGACGAGTTCAGATAAATTCTTTGAAATTTTTGAAATCCCCAGATCCTTCAGAGCAAAAGTAAAGAACTTGTAAATTAATTAAAGTAGAATTAACAAAAGCAAAGCAGTATTGGTTATAATAGAACGTTAATTGTCTCAACATCAATAACAGAATACAAGATTTAATACACAGTTGTTTAGAAAAAAGCTCTCGCCCTATAAAACCACACTGAACAAAACAGATGGAAAAATTTTCATGTAACTGACTTTTAAAGTGATGCAGTAAATGTCAACTTGAAGCTTGTTATTTCACATGCCACCAAGTCAGGTACTCTCAACATTCAGGCACCACAGTGATACAAGAGTCTACCAAAATCTCCGTCTCCGAGAATGTTAGATGAGAATCAAAAGAATGACTTGGTATATTTAGCACACCCTCTCATGTCAAATCCAGGAGAAAATATGGGTCAACATTTCAGACAGTGTGGCAAGGATAGGCTCTGGCCACATGGGTTGGATATCACTTGACGAATGTCCAGGCTTCATCGCGTGTACTCAAATATATAATTGTATTTCCAAGCACCAGTATTAAAAGGAGTTTTACACAAACACTAATTTACCTCGAATCTTTTTCTGTTTTCTTCAAGCCGTTGCTTTCGAGCCTCTTCATATGTGTTGGTGGCGCAACCCTTTGCCATCTGCTAATGCTGGGTTGTTAGTGATGCTTCCAACATTGAAGAATGATCTGATGTTAATTTTCTAGTATGGACGCCGATAATTCATGACGGTTTTAGAGTAAATGTTAAGGCACAGGAAAAAGAAACTCCCCAAAAATAGTGGACTTCAAATCAACTTTAAAAGCCTTATGCAGTAAAGGAGAAAGGGGGGATATAAAGCAAGGCAGGATGAAAATATAGCTTCCTTTAGTTTTCTTCATCGCACTTTTTCACTACAGTTCCCCCATTCTTGCACCATTAACTCCAGAATCGGTCTTTTTTTTCCTCCTGCTCCCTCTTCTTCACCTTTTTTCCTATAGCCAGACTAAACCTTTTTTTCATAAAATAATAAATGTTAATAGAGAAAAAGGTACAACTTGTTTGAAGATACCTTCAAAACAGAAGTTACAATACCAACTGAGAACAGAACAGAGTCACAAAAGCCCTAGAAAATGTGTGCGCGTAAAAGAGCTGCGTGATCCGAATATGTTAATGCTGCAGCTAAATACAAAACTCTATCCCCTGTCATATGTAAAGGTAAAGAAGTGCCCTTGAGGATCCTCCAAAGCTACAAAGAATTTATAAGAGAACAAATGAAAAGAGAAAGGGAAAATGGAGACAGATTACCGATGAAGAAGAAGATGATGAGGCTGGGACGTTGAAGAGTCTGTGTGATTCGAGCAGCGCTCGGGCAGTGAACCAGCTGCTGGTACGGAGGCATCTTTAAATTACAAATTTGACCTCGGACCGAGTGGCGCCATTTTTGGTTTCAAATCACTTGTTACCGTTACTTTATTGCCATTTTCGGGGGTCAAAAACGTTTTCAAGAAATTAAAAGTAAAATAGTATGCCACATTATTTTTTTAAAAAAATTTTAAAAAATAACTGTTTAATTTTAAAATTTTAAATTAGTATTGATTTCTACACTTGTAAAAAAAATGACTATACTCAAAAAGTAAATAACAACACATTTTTGTAATCATTTCTTATTTGAAATTCAATAATCATTTTTTTAGGATTCTTTCTTATTTTCCAATCCATCCAGCTCCAACATACTCTAATATTAATTTTTTTCCCAGTTACATTTACTGCCATAATAGTATTTATGGTTTTGAGTCCTAAATATATTATAAATAAAATTAGGATATTAAAAGTACTATAAAAATAATATGAGGATGTTAGATGCACTGTAAATAAAATTAGAATACTAAATGCAACTTAAAACTATCATGAAAATGCTAAATGTTGCTTTACCAGAAGTTAAATTATTGAGTGAATGATGTAAATTAAATTTATGCCACATTAGACATTTTTTTGTATTGTATTAAGTTTATTGCATCAAAGTATGATACAAAGAATAAGTCGCCCTTCTATAATTTATAAATAGTACTGTCTTCGGTCCTTAATATAAAAGTTAGTTTAACTTTTATTTTGATTCTAAATATGAGACTTTAATTTACTTTGTCTCTCAGATTTATTTATTTTTTTTCAAAGTAATCCTTATAGTAGTTACACATATTAAAAGTTCAAGTAAATGTTAGTTTTAACTAATTCATGATTAGTAAGAGTATTTTAAAGAAAACAATACTTAATTATTACAAATAACTAACTCAACAAATTTCCTTAATCTATTTAAATTAGTCAATTAGTTTTTATATTAAGAATTGAAGGTAAGATAATTTAGATAAAAGTGCAATTTTGGTTAATTGACTTTGTATAATATCTAGTTTTAGTTTCTTAATTTTATGGACTATCTTTTAAGTGTTTTGACCCTAATACCGTCAAAATGACATTACAATTATAAATGGTGACTAAAAATTAGCAGTTAGACTCATCTAAACCTTTTGTTATAAAAGCAAAAAAAAAAGTTAAAAGGGAAAATCACATTGGGTCCTAGTCAAGAGAAATATAAAAAAAAAATTCATTGCACTTATCATGAATAAAGAAAAATTTTATTGCACTTATTGTAGACAATAGCCGAAACTCCGACTGCTAGAGAATAATTCTAAGAGACGTAATTAAAAGGAGGTTGAACATTCAGGCCAAAAAAAAAAAAGGAGTTTGAATCCATGAATTGACTTCCTAGCACCCCTAAAAGATTGATAGTCACCTAGCTATCAAACTCACTCAAACGCAAACTGCATGTATATACACACATACATGTAGTAATAATCTTAAGTCTCCACTTTACAATTTACATCTTGATTTCTTTATGTACGGTTGTAAATTTCCTTATGTTTTACTATAAATTTGCTAATTATATTTGTAAATTAGGTTGGGAATATGAGAAATGAGAGTTGTTAATTCCCTTATATGTTATTATAAATTTGTCGAGGCAGTTGTATATTGGCTGGAAATATAGAAAATAGGAATTATTACTTCTCTTGCATGTTATTGTAAATTTACTCATTGTAATTGTTAATTAGGAAAATGGGAGTTGCTAGCAACTTAATTAGCAACTAAAATGAGCAAATTTTCAATACATAAAGAAATTTACAACACATGACAATTAACAATTCTAATTTTCTATATTCTCAACTTAACTTACAATTACAGTTAGAAAATTTACAACAACGGGTATGAAAACTCTTATTTCTCATCAAATTCTCCTTTCTTCTGCTTCTTGCATCCATCTCCTTCCCAATCCACGCTTCGCCATTAGATCTAAGATTAAGCAAATCACAGAAGAAGCCTCAACGAGTCATCAACATATGATGAGCATTATTAACTGTGTTTTTCTGTGTGTGTCATTTAATTCATTCTTCTATATATAGTTTAACTCTTCTCATCATCATTTAGTTTCAGTTAGATCATGTTCATCAAAGGAAAAGTACAGCATGAAGTGCACTCAGGTCCCAACCCATGCATATAAAGGAAAAATCTTCAGTAGAAGATCGGTAAGAATCTTAAAGTCATGCAACTAATAAGAACAAGTTAGAATCTCCTGAAGTTGAGATGAATCTCGAAATCTACTGCCTATTTCTACTAGCTTCTGCCTTATTTATCATAAAAGAACAAATATTAAATTAAATAATAAATAAGAACAAAACAAACTAGATTCCAAAGAGCATTCACTCAATAATAAACAAATCCTAATTGAGATATTTGTAAATAAGATCTTTTATTATTTGTAACAGAAAATAAATTAACTCCTAAACATATGCTAACAAGCTGATCCACTAACTTCGTCCACTTTCACCCTCAATCCCATGAGATACACTAATTCTATCAAGAGTTCCGTAAAGCTAAGTTTTGACGTTTGGAAAACTACAACTAAATTCGGTAACAAAGAAAGCATAGCAGAAAATGCGTCTGTACCTTCTGCTCTGTTTTGATCAATGCAAGCACTGAAGACGGACTTGTCATAGTCATGTTTTTCCATTTGTTTGCGTTTCTTATAACTTGACAGCTGAAGTACACAACAAATAACCGAATTCAATAGAAGTTTTCACAGCATACTGGAAGAGAATTCATTTTCCATGCAATTGGACCACTTACTCCTAGAAGCAGTGTCTTAAGTATATATCACAGTATTAAATGGTAAATAGTTAAAATGCAACCGACTGACAAAATGGATGAGAACGAAGGTGCTACATTTGACTGTAACGCTCTGTCCTCACATTTCGAACAGAAACCAAGACGGATTGGAGTCTCATTTCATTATTGCATATTCAACTGGGTTTTCCAAGTTGTTAATCATGTAGAAACTATAAAGAGTAATTAGTCATAGTTCTGTATATTAAAATTAACAAAAACCTGCAGCAGAACTTCAATGGTTAATGTTAACCATACTGAACCTATAACTGCATGGCAATACTTTAGGTCCATAATAATCACACTTGAGTAAGTCATCCTAGCTGGTCTTTTATTACATGCTACTATCGTTATAGACCCACTTAGAGGAAAAGAAAAATTAACTCTAGCTAGAATTGAAGATTAATGGAGCTCAACAGGGTAACTACATTCCACTTAAAAAGCATACAGCAAGACAGAAACAAGATACAAAATAAAGAATCAATTTGATCTATGATATATTTTTCATCATATCAATCATCGTGATGTAGAAGAAAGTATTAAAACATAGTGGACACTCGAGTTAAGTATAGAATAGACCGGGTTAAACTTTACTATAGGGGAAAAAAAAGGGTGTATGTAAAGATGAATTTGATTACTACATTAGGTCCTTCATCAGATGAATAACCACCATCCTCAGTTCTCCTTTTTTCTGGCAACGCATCCAATAAATCTGAACAAAAACTTTAATTTTAGATCCTTTAATGTGGGGAAGGAGCCAAAATAGATTACTTCAATCGTCATTTGGCGCTCAATTGAGGTAGTAAAACTAAAGGCAGTGGGAAAATACCTCGATTGGTTTTCACTGCTCTTGGATCCTTCTTTTCTTTGGCAACCCCAAAAATGTCATGGCATAAGTCCTTCATGGACGTACAAACCTGACGTAGACACTCAGAATCAGGTTGAGAGCTAACACCAAACTGGAACCCTCATATTAATTCAACGTACCAAAGTTTATGGCACTTACGCTGGAAAATTCGGATTCAGAGGTACCACATAGTTCGATTAACTTAAGTTTGTCTACTTTGAGCTGTAAAATAGACATCTAATACTGGTTAAACCACAGACGAATAGCTCATATCCTATCTTAGGGTATGGGAGATGTAGGTACCTTATGTTTCTTGGCACATAAATAAAAAGCAACAGCAATGAATACAGGACGAGTGAAGTCAGCACTTGCACGTCGAGAAGCCGGCAATGATGAAAGGAAGCGTTCCTTGTAACTTAAAAGAATATAAACAAAATAAGACGTCTCTAGTTCCCTCAGCAATAGACGCACAATCAAACAGAAACACAGACAAGTCTAATGCCCTCGGGAACATTTTGTCAAACATCTTGTAGGTATTGCACCACAGACAGGAAATGGAGAAAGAGCAAAAGGAAATTTTGAGCATACAAATTCAAACCATCTCGAACATATGAAATAATTCTGACACACCCAAATTGAATAGCTAATTCCCTGATATCAAGCTTTGTCCTGTAGCACCAATGATTTGACAATCCAGTAAAACGTCCATCCAGATATAGCACAAACCATACAACTGATAATTAAACGGAAAGAAACTCTGAAGAGAATAGAGATAAAACCAACTTGACTCCTAGGCCATTGTGCAACAAATTGTACGATCTGATATATGCCTTTTCCGACATCCCACTTAGCCTGGTGGCACTCGATCGATCAAACAAAATTCCCATACTGCATGAAAAAAAAAAAAAGCTAAATATTACCCATTGAAGGAACTCAACTAAGCAACGAAAAGTTGGTAAAAAACACTAAGCATCGGCAAAAGTACCTCGTGGCGGCAATTTCCAAGCAAATTATAGCTTTGCAAACTTCCCCCTACAGATAAAAATGAACAAGCGGAATAGTCAGTATCCAGAATGCGTAATCTGAAACCCAGAGATTCAATGGTACTGAACTTACAACTCCAATGACAGAGGAATCGAATTGAACGTCGCATAAGCGCCGGGGTTCCAACGCTTTTCGCACAGCGAGTTTAGAATCTGATAGTCCGAGCTTCTTGGTTATCTCTGACATATCCATTTTCCTGAAATTGCCTCGGCAGAATGGAGAAGAAGACCTGCTCTTTGAAAGGGTTAATCGAGGTTTGAATCAGTGAAATGAACAAAACAGATGAGGTGGTGGCACCGGCGGGAATGCGAGTTCATCCAAATAATTTTTTAAAAAAATTACAATCAAGTCCCAAAAATAAATATAATTATTAATTTTGTCTTTATAACTAGAGCTAATAATAGGAGTTCAACTTGCGAGCTCAGCCCGCCAAAAAGTAACAGACTGGGTTGATAAAAATGAGAATCATCTTAAAACGGAATTTTTGAACCCGTAACTACCAAGATCGAATTTGCGATGAGCTAACCCGCCAACCGTTGTACTTCTTTCTCTTTTCTTTTTTTTTCAAATTTGCCCCTTTGAAACTATCAATATTGAGTGATGACTCATAATTGAGTACTTGATAATAATTTGTGTAGTGACACATTGTGTTTATGACTTTGTGGTATTGTTGATTTGGATTTATATTTTAATTTGGGATGTTTTTAAAATCATTTAGGATATATCATGCAATCGTATATTTCATATTTTGAGGTATTTGAAAGTTGAAACTTTGGATTCCATGTTTTACTTATCATAATTTCTATTTGCATGTTTTATTTTAAATATTTAGAAATTTGAGTAGAATAAAAAGAACGACCCAAATATTCCATTTGCATGTTTTATTCAGGCTCGTCACAGGCCAACCGTAACTGGTGGCTCGCCTATATTACTAGTTCTATCTATAACAACTTAAACAACATATAATAATAAGTTCTAAAATAAAGAATATCAATGTCTACCACATTTGTTTTGTAATTTTTTTCTTTTTTAAGATCTCATTGTAATTTTTCCTAATCTATTTCCCAAATTTTTCAATATAAAATTAATATTTGGGGAAAACCTCCTCAAAAGAGGGATGAATTACCCAAATTCTACTTTGCGTTGTTAAACTCAGAAAACCATTAAGCAGGTCATACGATCTAAATTGAGATTTAGAAAATTTGTCAATTTACCCCAATGGCCCCCATTAACTAGAAAATTAAAGGTAGTTTGCTATGCAAATTGAAATTGGTGAATTGCAAAAATTAAGTTGTTAATTTCTAAGGCCATCTTATGCTTAAGTTAAAATAGGTTTGTTGGAAAAGTTTTGTTGCGAATAAGAACTTGTGCATTGCGAATTGGAACTTGGGACGAATTGCAAAATTTAGCGTATTAATTTTTAAAGATGTCCTATGCTTAAATTATATATGGTTAATGCAAATATTTTTTTTGCGAATATGAACGTGTGAATTCTAAAATTTAATGTTTTAATTTTTAAGGTTGTCTTGTGCTTGAATTGCAAAAATTTTAATGCAAACTTTTGCTGTGAGAGGAAACTTGTGAATTGAGAAAGTTAACACCTTATTTTTAAGAATAAGTTGTACTTAAGTTGCAAGATGATTGTAGCCAAAAAAAAAAAAGTTACAAGATACTTATTGCAAAAATTTTGTTACAAGTTAGAACTTGTAAATTGGGAACAAAACTTTTTAAAACAATGCTTTTAGAATCAACTTAAAGAATTAAAAACATTGTTAAATTCAATTATTTTAATTGATATTGACACTAACTTTTTTTTTAATTACTTAATATTTACATGTTTGATTCATACATGACATAATTCAACTTATAAATATAAAAATTTTATTCATAAACATTATTTGGTGTAAACTCAGAGTAACTCTATGTCATTTTAAACTTGAGACTAATTTCTGTCATGCCGAGAGCATTAATATTAAAACCCTCCCAACAAATACGCTTCTCCAGATTCGAACTTGTATTCTCCTTCATATAAGGATGAGACTGTTTACTATCTCAATTGTTAATTATTCAGGAACATTAAAATTTGATTGTAAATAACACAACTGGACTATTTCTCAAATAAGTCGTAAGTTAAATACAAATTTAAGCTATGATATTGTTCATTATTTAAGTCGTAAGTTAAATACAAATTTAAGCTATGATATTGTTCATTGTTTTGGATATCCTAATGGACTGCCTCATACCAGGAAGAAAAACTTGCCTTTGATTTGATCTCATTTTGCTTTTGCCTTTCTACCCTCTGTACAGTCTCCTTTTTCCACCACTAACTTTTTGCTTTAAGAGAAGCTCTTGTCTTCTCGCTTTCTCAAGATACTATACGGAATGGATTGGTATTCCATTGGGATTACACCTCACATCCAAATGTTTTGCAACCAAATGGAGCATGACACCATGGTCTCGTCAAGATGAGACGGGTGACATATTTCCAATGTCTCTGCTCCTTTTCTTTATAATTTAATACTAATTGGCTATTTTATCCCCCAAAAAAAAAACTTCACTTTTAAATATGAAATTCATTGAGCATGTTGTTATGAGTTAAAGTGTAAAAATATCCACAACTCTTATCAAAAGTGTGTACAAAAATGACAAAACTGTTGCAGTATGTTAACGACAGTTACTTTTTAATAGTGGGGTCCACAATATTATCATGAAAATACTAAGATAGGCTGAGGGGATATTTGGTAAAAATAAAACTATGATTTTAAAAGTATTTTTATATTGTACAAAATAAACATGTGAAAGAGTTTGTTTTGATTTTTAAAAAAACTATTTTTAAAGTATTTTTGGATTATTTAAACAACTTCCGGGTCCAAAAATAAAACTCTACCCGACCTGTTTATCTTCTCGGTTGATCTCCCTCCCAACTTAGCAAGAGGGGGGGAAAAAAAGAAAAGAAAAACCACCCTCAATCTGAGACTCCAAATTGAAGAAGGCAATTTTATTGATTCGCCTAGACGAACAAATCCAAAGTTCGACGGCCTGAGACTTTGGAGTATCACGAGGGAAGGAGGAACGTAAAGCAGCCATGCCTTTTTTGATTTTGGGATTTGACCTTCAACTCCGTTTTGCCGTCCTCACTCTGATCGAGATTTGAGACAAGATGATGGCAACGGCGGTGAGATCTAAGATGATCAGCGATAACCTCTATGACTTTTATTGACCATGATCTAAGATGACGAGCAAAAGTTGCGGAACACAATGTGCCCACTCTCTCTCTTTTAGGTGTGTTTAAGACTGACTCGTCCCGATAAGCCTGTTCCGGTCCCGACCGTCTAGTCTTGAAATTTTTTAGAACCAGACAAATCAGGACAGGACAAAAAAATAACTGGGATAGGACAGGACATGAGACGGGATCGTCCCATCCCGGTCCTTTTTATTTTTTCTATTTTTTTATCATATTTATATAATATCATTTTTTTCATATTTTTTTTAAGACTTGAGACTATTATATAAAACTATGGACCTATTTATTTAGAACTTTTATATTTGTTGATAATTTGAGACCATTGATTATTAGAATTTCCAACAAACTTTTATTGTATTCAAAGCTTTTATTTAGAGTTTTTAATAACTATTATATGTAATATTTTGGGTTTTTGTTTAAGAGTACCCAAAGAAATTTTAAAAAAAAAAGTTTTTACAAAGGCTAAGTCCAAAACACTACGATTAGGGGGGAAAAAAAATCAAATTTCATTACACCAGGCCCAACAACTCAAAAAATATATCAAGACGTCTTGGTTTCGTCTTGTCCCGATTGGGACCGGGACAACTCCGGGATGGGATGTGACATGGGACAATTTTGTTGTCCCGTTACTGTTCATCGGGACAGAACCGGTCCCGGTCTAAGTCCCAATCCGTCCTGTGAACAATCCTATTCTCTTCCCTCTCTTCATCAATTTCTTTGGAAGTTTTTCTTGACAGAGAAAGAATAAAAGAGGAGGACATCAGTTGGGCGGAGAAATTTGCAACATGCTGCTGGTTTATATGGAGATGGCGGAACCTACAAATACACGAACAGGACTTCAATTTACCGTGCGAGCTGGAAAAGGAGGTCTATAACTATTTGGCTAATTATCACCATAGGTGGGAAAGGGATTCCATGGAGGAAATTGTTATGAGAAAGGAACAAATTTCTTGAAAAACCCCTCAGCTAGGATGGTGTAAATTGAACACGGACGGAATGTGCACGGATGAAGGAAAAGTAGGATGTGGTGGAGCAATAAGGGGAGATGGAGGAGAATGGCTAAAAGGCTTCTCGGTGCAGCTACAAAGATGTGGGGTGATGGAGGCCGAGGCGTGGGGTATCTTGGTAGGACTAAAATTATGCAAACACATGGGATTCAAGAAAATAGAAGTGGAAAGCGATGCGAAGCAAGTGGTGGACCTGTTAGTGCAAAATAAAGAGAGAAGTCGACATATTCATATTTTCCAGGAAATTCAGGAGATGATGCAAGGGGATTGGCAAATCAAAATCAGTCATGTCTTTAGAGAAGGAAATCGAGCAGCGGACAAACTTGCTCACCTTAGTCTACAGATTGAATCACCAAGAATCATCTGGGACACTCCACCGCCTGAAGTACGGAGCATACTCGAGGAAGACTTAGCTGGAACTGAGTTTCCCAGAAGAGTTTTTCTGTTTGTAATAGTCGTGTAATGTAATGGGTTGGGCCCCTTTTTTTTCACCAAAAACAAAAAAAAGAAAGAATTGATCGCCTAAAAGATTATGGCCTTCATTCCTTGCGCTTTCACAGATGGATTATGGAGCTTTGTTCCTTGAGCTTTCACATGTTTCCTCACAAAAAATGAATTATTACATTTACTTTATTGTTGTCTTTGGCTTTGTGGAAAGCTTCTGTTAGTATGGGAAGTTCAAATTTTGTTGATAGAACGAAACATATTTATAAATTGCATGAGTGATTAAAGGATTGGCAATGGAATTCGTAAAGCCAATATGAAGTCCGTTCTATACATTTGACTCAGGCTCATCATGCACACATTGTCCATTTAGGTGATGCATGGTCCCAGGATCTTAAGAATTAAGAGAGGGGATTTTCCTTGTGAAAACTAAAAGCCGATTTGCTACCAATCACACTATCAAAATTACTCTGTTCCTACTTCTGATAAGGATCTAACTGTTCACTTAAACCTTTTCCTTTTTATTTGTAAAATCTGGTTAATGTTGAATAATGATTTAGGTTGTGATATTTTCTTAAAATCTGGGTGTGGCTTTGATTAGAGTTTCATATGGTGATAGTTCTGAGCAGCCGGAAAATTTGCCGAGAGGTAGTGAGGGAGTGGGTTTTTTGGTTTAAATCGCGGGGGTGCTGTTAACTTAGTTTAACGGTTCTGTCATTTTTATATCAACTTTAAACTCGTACAGGGAGGTTTACATTAAAAATATATATATATGGTATTAGACGCGCTTAATAAAAATTTATGAATATTTTTGTAGCAAAACCTATATACGTTTCGTCGGCAATTTTTCCTTGTGTCAATAACTTGTTATTTTTCACCATTTGTAAGTCTGGTATATACTAATTATATAAACACCTTATCTTTCTTCTAAATCTATTACTCATGCTAAGATTAAAAGCTAATTTAAGAGCCACATAAATTTTTAAAAAATGTTATTACGATGGTGCAAACACATTATATAAAAGAAATATTTTTTTAAATGTTATTAGAGACAGTTAAGCATGTTTAAATTTTTTTAAGCAAAATGAAAAAAAAAAGGATAAACGTAGAAAAACTGTAGAAAAAAATTGAAAAAATTCCCCATAAACACTTATTTAGAGAATTAATTGCTCAATAACAACTTTCATATGTATGAAATCAAATACCAGTACTTTCTGTGTATCAAAATATACCAAGTACTAGCATTAGGCAATTAATTTATCCAAACAAGTATTTATGGGCAATGTTCCCCAAAGAAAAATTCCATTTTGGGAGAAAAATTGATGGGCTTCATTGTAAGATTTACAAAAAAAAAAAAAAAAGAGGCATATAAAACCCACATGTTCCTAATGAATCTTGATGCTATTTGGATTACACCTATAAGTAAAAAGCACTTGCAGTGGCAATAAAATATGGGACCGCCTAAGTCTTTATTATGAATCAAAAGCTTAATAAAATTAAGCTTCCATTTTGATGGCAATGGCATACAGGCATCTTGAAGATAACAATTATTGAGGCCTCTCAGAGTCGAAACATTCCAAACTTGTAGAATAATATTTCAACCATAGATCTAGTTTCATCATTTTCAGGCTGTTTGCAGGTTACACAAGAAAATTTCAAATGTCTTCTGGTAAAGATGGAGATTATCCGCATACACTCTTGCATGTCCTCAGTACCTGTGAGCCAGCTTCTCCTTTTCCTGGTAGTTTTGAACATACCTACATACAGCCATCGAAGATGAATTAAATTCAAAACATAAGAAGACAGCAGTGCCAAATGGAGTTAATATCCGTTTAGTTTCACCTATTCTGTGAAAATGATTTCTGCAAAACTTCCAACCAAAGTTTGATCCAGGTATTCTTTTTCTTTTTCTTTAAAAATCCTTTCCAATGAATACAAGAGTTGCGACCAGAAAACAAAACTATTAGCAGACTGACTAACTAAAATTGCTTGGCCCGAGGCCAAGTTAACAGCAACATAGCGCCCACTAGGAAAAGGGATTGAGATTAGAAATGCCATTGGAAGCTACCCTGCTTGGAGAAGAAATGGAGGTTAAAAAAAAAAAAATGCCATGAGAAGCCCTCAAGTGGTAAGGGTGGAGTAGATTATGGGTAGAATTGAAATCCGGGCTCAAACTCTCCTAATGTATCAGAAGGAAATGCCATTGACATTGGCTTCCCGAATGGTTTTTGGGACAACTCAACAATGTACCATAAACATAATGCACTGGAATAACATCCTTGAAAGCATCATTTCTATGAATTCTATTGATTGAAAAACAATGCTTACATTAAAGTTTGAGTACTTTGTAACTTTGCCCCACAAATAGTATTCTAGTTATGTTCTTTATGTTTATTTTTTTGATCCAAACAATGTGCCTTTCGATTACATACTTGGCAAAGTTTTTTTTTTTTTTTTGCTTTTGAAAAAAAGGTCTTATGCTGCTAAATTCTTATTAAAGGCCATCCACACTCCACAGAGAATGTAAAAATTGTAAATTAATATACCCCAAAAATAAAAATAACACCACGAGTTAAACTTCAGCTATTTGGCTTATTTGATACCACTGATATTCCTCCTTCCCAGAAGAACTGTTGACATGCTTTCTTACTGTAGATATGAAATTTAGATCTACCAATCCGTATATCATACAGAACATGAAATAGGGGGCAAAGACATATAACATCTTCTGAGGAATAAGTTCAAATGCTAAGGCTGCGTATGCTTAGAACACTATCCTAAGCTTATCCTCAGCTTCCTTTGTAATTAAACTATGGAGTCTGTTAGTATTTTTAAAATCTTCCCTCTCATTCCTCCTTGGCCTCAGCTTTCATATTAACCTTGCGAGGAGTGAATCAAAATCAACTATTCATGACAATATTCGATAATCCGTCTTAGAGCGAGAATCTTACAATTGATGCATTTGTTTTAACCTTGCGGAACAAAATCAGGAGTTCATGGCAATTTTATAATCCTCCCAGTGCAGAATCTTTCAACACCATGCTAATAATTGAGATGAGCGAGAAAAAAGATTTACACCACACAAACTAAAGTAAAACACACAGAAAAATGCAAGTCCTAAGAAAATAAGACAAGGAAATCGAATTAAAAACTCATCATTTCCCAGATCAGAAACACATGAAGGTATACATAAAAAGGGCTTTACAACAATGGAACAAAACATACGTATAGGTGCCGACAAGAGGACCGAGCAAGAGCGTGGCGCTGATCCAATTCTCAGAGATCTTGTGGTGAATCTTGGAAGGCAAATCCTTCCAGAGACCAGTCATAACTTTCTGCTGGAAAGGTGAAAGAGCATAGACCACGGCCTTCATCCTAACGGGTTGCTTCCCCATCTCGGCAGCTCAAGTTGCGGTCGTCGTCTTCCTCCGATCAAATCCGGTTGGGTAGGAAAAGAAAATGCAGTGATGGATTGGGGCGGGAATGGGCCCTGAAAACCCTAGGATCCGAAACTTTCGAATGTCCTAACTCTCATTCCGACCCGAATTCGAGTGCCTTTCCTTTTCTTTTTCTTTTTTTTTTTTGGGGAAAAGAAGGAATTCATTACTCAAATATGTACAGGACCGAGTGCCTTGCTCGCTTCAATGGCTTTTTTACCCGATACGGTAAACATTACAAGATATTATCAAAACTAGAAATTTATCCCGGATGCACGGATTAGCATAGTTGATTATATTTAAAATTTTAATAAATTGCATTATCTGAAATAGCTTAAAAGTTATTTCTAATGGAAATATATTTCGTTAATTCATTTTAATGGAATTTGAATTAGAAATGCAGAATTTATGGGGAATAGATAAAAATTTGAAATTATTTATTTATTTCTCCATTTAAACCTCTTATTGGCATACTATTTAATTATAACACCCCCATTTAATGTAATATATTTAAATTTTAATTAAGATATTATTCAAATTTAAATTTATTTATTAATTTCTTCATTTGAATCTCTATTTGTAATTGCATTTATTTATAATGTTTCCTATTTAATTCAATATATTCAAATTTCAGTCAATATGTTATTTAAATATCATTAATTAAATATATTCAGATTCTATAATCTCATATCCAACCCATTTTCAAACGAATCGGGTATTACAAGTTTTCAAGAATATAATTGATGATTGATTGATAAGACACAAGAAGTTAAAATGACAATGAAGGTTCGAGTATATTTTGAAAAACAGCACCGTTACACCACAACTATGACAGTCATAAAAAGCAGTTCACGCCCAACCTAGCAAAATAAGTAAAATAACGAAAAATAATAGAAACAATGATCTTCATAGGGAATTCCTGAATGGTAACTGCTTATTTTTCCTTCTTGATCTTCTTAACTGGTTTTGTGGTGCTAAAGCTTGGTGTTGATAGTTCTAATATGCCAATATCATCAATTTCGATGGGTGCATTCCTTTCAATTTTCTACCACTTTGTCAAATTTGTTGTAGAAGTCATCAACTGAGATGTGTTAATATCATCATTTTCAACAGATCTATCATTGCTCGTCATTTTTTCACATGATCCAGACGCAGATGACTCCAATGGTGAACTCTATGAAATATAATCAAAGAACATTAAGGTTAACAGACTAAAAATTTTAATGTCACTATATATGATGAGATAGGGTAATATCATGTGTAAATCGGATAGAATTGGTATGTTACTTACCTTCTCATGGGTATTTGCGTCAGAATATGTGAACTTTTCAAGGATATCTTTCTCTGTAGAGAAAAGGGAGACACTCTACTACTCATAGGGTATTTCAAGTTGTGTTCCTTGACTTTAAGCATAACAACGATTTCCATTCCAGAAACTTGATTTAACTCTTTCGGGAAAGAATGAGGTGCTCCTTTTTGAAATTACAAGACATATTTTGAAACAAATATAACAACAAACAACAATCTACAAGAAGTATATCTTATTATATATATAACTGCAAACCTTGACTACTGCCTTCCTAAGATCAACCGCTGAACAATGTATGAGTTCGGATGCATGACGGTTGAAGAACAGTATGGAACACTTTGCAGTAGAATCAAAAACTGTGTAATGAAGCTTGAATCTTTTCAAAACAAAGGTTCAACTGTTAACATGAAGTGTTATGAAAACCCATAGTTAAAGAATGTTGACATTAGTTAAAACTTACTTGGGTTCAGTCATTAGTACTTCCCTATGACAAGAATTGCATTTCAATTTGTCACCCTCATATGCTGGCTTTTTATCGCATGGACATCCATCATAGTACCAACCGTAAGATGTCTCAACTTTTTGGATGGTTACTTTGGTAACAACTTCTGATGCCTAATAAATTACATGGAAATAAAGGTTAGTAATTCAAACATTTAAACATTTAGAAAGTAATTACCATGACAAAAAGCTGATGAAATGAAAATACTGGCCTCTGTTAATATGGAAATTTCACCCAATGGAATTCTAGTAGGGAAAGTTAAGAGAGAGTCACTGGTAATCTCGGGCACTACAGTAGAAGAGATCTGTGAGAAAGCCTGACTTGCTCCAGGCATAACATTGAGGCTGTGAAGGGAAGCTGAGATTTAAGTCTGAGAACACCATTATATGTATATATATGTATGTATGTATACACACTTACAAGACAAATGCTTGATTAATATAAAACAATGATAAGTTTTTACCTGTCAATAAAACTCCTGACCTCTGGAAAATCTGGATTGAAATAAACTCTTGTCACATAAAAGGCATTAGATATGTGTCCATAACCTTGAACCAAAATTGAAATTGAAGTGTAAGTCTCATTAAAAAAAAAAAAAAGAATCAATGAGATACTGCTAACAATATACAAATACTTTTTTTCCTTGCAATCTTAGCAAACCGTATGACAACTATAGTGGGGACTTCTAAATCATCTGTCCTCGCCTCAAACGCCTTTTTTGCGACCTCCCCAAAAAGAGATACATTTACTTGGATTTCACTGCAAATAAACGATAATAAAATAAGAATATGTCAAATTGACGTGCAATCATCTATTTTTATCCTCACTTGTTGGAGGTCCTAGATAAGAAAAAGAAGTGTGTTACTTTTGATCAGCAATAGTGAGAGCCAATTTCTTCGTTGTTCCAAAATCATTTTTATGATCAACCAAGTTCCCAAATGCTTGTAGAAATCCAATAATATCTGCGTGAACTTGTTGAATCGGTAAGAAGAAATTGAAATGGATATAATGTCACTCAAAACACAAACATGCATTAGATACAAGCAACGAAAACAATATAGGAAAGGAGTGCTAACCAACTAATTTATTGTTTTTGGCATTGTTGTTGGCAATGTCCTTGATTGGAACAAAGTTAAATGCATACAGGGGGATTGGCAAATCATGCTCTTGAAAAAATGTCATTGCATGGAACATAATTTTGCAAGGATGGTCACAAGTTTTGTAATTGTCATCATCATTGTCCACGACTTCGAAGTTCTCAAATTGATAAACCCCACCCTCTACTAAATCTTTGACATATCTTTGTATATGTCCTTTATGAGCAATGGAAGCTTCAATCCTATCACCCTGGTTACATAGAATACAATGAAATGAGTTCACTGTAGATATTTTTTTCAATGAATAAAACAATATTATTACTTACTAACCTTTTCATCGGACAAAATCATACTAACTTTCCAAACATCAAAAGGTGGGGACTTCTTAGCTACTGTCTACTTCCTTAGCACTCTAACAATGATGCACCACGTTTCTTTGCTACAATCTACATCCTTGATCAAATCGTGAGGGAAGTTCACCATTTGCTTTGACATCGAAATATGAAGCTGTGTGAGAACAAGTTAATTGAGAGAAATGTTGGCAAATAACGTGAAAAGAATGGGTTAATTAATGGGAGCGTTGTAAATAACGTGAAAGAAATACTGGGGAGCATTACCCTTTTTCCAAGGTGCACCATTTAAATAACGTGAAAATCATAAGACAATTTGCAAGGTTTCCTTGATTTCTTCCGTCATTTAATTAACCTATACCATTTGAAATGGAGATGCGAATTTTAATTAAAAAATTCCTCTGTTTGAACCTCCAATTAAATTCTCATTTAATTATAATGCACCGCATTTAGTTTAATTTAATTTAATTTAATATGCACAAATCCCATATAACTGAATATTTTTGGATACCATAATAGATAGTGAATTGAAATCATCTTTTAATTCTATATGTAATAAATTTTACGCTTTTAGATGCCCTAATTCAGTAAGCGAAGAATCCAGAATGCGTTGCTTAGTTTTACCACAATAAAAGTGTACGCTGACATTTAAATATTTAGGGACCATGATCAAATCAGCATAAATCCATATATCCAAATAGAAAGTAAATAATATCATAAGATTCTTTTGTTGAGTATAAAAAAATAATTGAATTTAACTCTAATTGATTTTATGGAAAGGATATTAAAATAAAAAATGTAAAATAAGAAGCTATCAGTGTGCACCATATCATCAATATCAATATAAAACAAAAGAAATTGTGATTCTACATATTTATTGGGTTTTCAATTTTAAAAATGTTTTTTAAAGCATTTAAATGTAATTTAAAATTTAAATTTATAAAAGAACGTGTTATTTTTCAATTGTTATTTTGAATTTGAATGTTATTATTACAACTAATATAATTTTCAAAATCTATTTTCAATCTAATATAATTAATATATGCCATAAAAGATATTATTGTATTAATATCCCAATCAATAAATTTGGAAATCCATTTAAAACATAATCATTTCATTGTTTTGAATTTGATTGGTTAATTCTCTAATTAATAATTTCTCATTAATGCATTTAAATAACACGTCTTTTCAGAATAATAAATTTTGAATTGTAATATGATTTTATTAATAATACACCAAGCAAAATACATTGATTGCGAGATCCAACCCTTATCGATCTAATTGAAAATTTGGATATTACAAGATTTCTAGTATATAGTTGATGATTGATACTATGTGCGGTGGGAAGTATTCCCCAAAATACGTTATTGGACTTTAAATTTCTAAAGAAGTCATTCACGTTAAGAACGATTTTGGGAATGTAATATATTTTTTAATTACAAAAATTAGAAGTCGTTCATAGTATGATAGACTTCAGTCTTGTCCGTATTCAATAAGTGTTCCAGCGTGCCTTTCATTGATATTTTCATCACTTGTACTATAGCTTGGGTCAAATCAATCTATAAGATTCGCCATGCGTTGTCTGTTTAGTTTTCTCAACTTGTGAAGGCATAGTATAAAGCTGAAACGTGAAGTGACAGAAGAAGAAAAAAGGTATGTGGAAGTAATAAGTGCATGGTCTATATAATTGTTGCATGCTCCAAATTTTTTTCTTGTGGTTGCTTTCTTTCCTCAGTCCATTCTTCCTCTTTCTCAGTCCATTCTTCCTCTTCTATAGATATTGGCCATTTCTTCTTCTTTTCAGTTGTTTCCTTCCTCTTCTAGTTAGATATTGGTGGTGTGTGTTATATTGTGGTATACTGCATTTTATTCCAGCTTAAAGGTTGATTACTGATCTGATTAAGGTGCATCTCTTATTTAATTTCTTTTTTAATTTTTATAGCAAAGTTAGTATATTTAGTCATGAACTTTTTTGACAAATTGAGTTTGTTATTAAAAATAAAGACATGTTGCTAATTTTCTTATAATAAATAATAGAGTAGTACTAGTTAAGCATATTATATTACGTAATTGTATTCATAAGAGATATAACAACCTAAAAAAGAAACTAACTCTAATGTGTTCAATGGATCCGCAATAATTTTTATGAAAATGCAGAGAGGGCATACCTTTAACTAGAAAATATATGTATATATGTCCATTAACATCATGGATGAAAGTATGAAAATTCAAATGTCGTAGACATTATTTTTTTTTTAGCTAACTACTAGTTAATATTTGATTTTCCTAATAAAGGATTAAAAGGGGACGGGTATAAATGATTTGGAAGAAAAAAGTAACTAAAATATAAATCTTTTAAGACTCAATTTTTTTAGAGCAAATTTCCAAATTAAAAATTCATTAAATAAAAAAATCATGATATAAAAATTACATTTTATTTATGTTTTGACGATGTTGAAATCCAAAAGGACAATAATATTAAATATGTAATAGTTATTAAAAAGAAATAAATATTCCCTCATACTTTATGTATTTTAAAAAATAATGCTAATTTATATAGTTAAATTCCTTTAGCTAAAAATATTAAATATTGATTTTTTTAATAAAAGAACGCATGTTTCATTTTCTTCTTGAAAGGCTTTAAATATATTTAATTATGTAGATTTTTTTTGATCTTATATTTATGTGGACTTGAGAACTTTGTTCAGTATTTTTTTTTCTTCTTGTTATTATATCATTAATTTTAGGATATTTAATATATTATGCATGTAATTTCTTGTATTACATTTCATTTGGAGGCTATTAATTGTTTTATTAATAAAAATAAATTGATATGTAGTAGTAAATGTAGCATATGTCTATATATAGTATAATATTTAGAAAATAGGTATAGATTAAAATTTTAGAATATATATGGTATAATATTTAGAATATAGGTGTGTGTAGATATTTTGAAAAGATCAATTTTAAAAATTATATATTTGTATTATTTTATAATAATTTTTTATATTTTATAAATAATAGAACATAGGTTGAAAAGTGAAGTATATTCACTGTAGGGAGTATCTTGGCACAAAAAATTTGTAAACAAAGATAAATAAATAATTAAATTTAATTAGGAATCATTTTTCTATGATATTAATATTGTGGTGAGACCATTTTGTGTATTTCTATGATACAATTTTTTTTAAAAAAATAAAGTTGTTAATAATGTTATAAAAGTTGGTAACCATTATATTGAAGTTGTAAAAATTTTCTAAAAAAAATAGTTGTTAAAGTTGTAAAAATACCATTTTTAAGAAAACGTATTGTTAAATGTTATACCAAAGTTGCCAATAGAGTCACAGAACTTGTTAACGGTATTATTGAAGCTGTAAAAATACTTTTGGAATTTTTCGAAAAACCTATTGTTAACTGCTATATTAAAATTGTTAATAGTATTACAAAAATTATTAACCGTTATAATGAAGTTGTAAAATTTTTTAAAGAAATTGTTTCCAGCTGCCGAAACTCTAATGACGGCTGCCAGCGACAACATCAGAGCTCCAGTGACCAGCTGGCTAGTAAGGGTTTTGGTTTTTTAAAAAAATAATAATAAAATTAGGGACAATATAATTATTTCAGCAAATTTATAAATGTCAAATTGGTCACTTGTAACAAAATTGAAATTTTCTAATTTAAGTGACTATTTTGACATTTCCAACTCCAAGTTCAAGTATCATTTTTGTGTCATGTTTCCTAGAAAGAAAGAAAGAAATGACATCGTGGCATTATACATAAGTTAATAGAAGATGCAGAGAAAGTTGCCGTGTTGATAAATCATCAATGAATAACATCAATATATAAGCTTATAAAAAAACATCAATATATAAAATAAAGATTATAACAAATCATATAATTTAAAAATAATAATATTGACAACTTTTTTCCCACTGTCAAGGTTAGCTTTCTGTATGACATTCGCCAATTACTAAAGGAATTAAAGGGTGTTTGAATACCCTGAAAAGTGTTTCTTAAAAATACTTTCCCCAATCGAGATAAACTCCTCCATATATTTATCTCGTACATCGTAAAATCACTTCTGAAACCATAGTTTGGTTTCCACGCAAACACCCCCTTAATTGGATTTGGCCATAGAATTACTTTTTAAGAAACTGTAAGGATGTCTCATTAATGTTAATATCCACGTATGTCAATGTAATTGGAATTTCCCACCCTGACGCTTCAAATTTGAAAACAGTAAATATGAAAGTGACAAACCAACCACAAAAAGCAAAACAAAAGGGCTCATCAAAAGTTCAACGCAGCTCAATGATCAGATAACCTCTTTCACAGCAAAGTTCTTCTGTAACATAAAAGAAAGTATCCTAGTACATGTTAATGTAAGCAAAAGGAAACAGCAAAGAAATCAAACAGATTATAAACCAAGAAACTAAACTCAGCTAACCGAGCTTGTGAGCTCTTTATGAAGAGACAAAATCAAAATCCCAGTGAAGGAGTTAATAAGAAGAAGAAAAAACATGATGCTGTTGCAAGAATGAGTTAGAGATCTAAGGAACGTAATCATTTTCTATGACTGGTCTGGTACGAGTCCCCAGAGCTAGAGGTGCTTTGGACCCTCCAATGGATGCCATGTGCAAGGGTTCATTGCTTTCTGCAGCCCACTCCATTTCCTGTATCCTCCTGGTTTCCTTAGACCTCCTAACCTTAACAAGCAAAAGATACAATACTATCAACAAAACCAACCCACCAACCAAAGATCCAACAATTATCCATGGAATATAGGACTTCTTCTTCTTCATTCCATGACTTTTTTCACTTGGAACTCCAACAGAAGTAGAAGGAGCTGGTGAAGGTGATGGAGATGGAGATTCAGAGTCTTCCGCAACTATAGAGAAATGGCCTTGTTGACCTGTTGAACAGACATTCCAGGTAGTAGAATGTCAATGAACTGAACCGTTTAAATCAAAGTACACACATTTGGGTGACGGTGACGATAAT